ATAGCAAACCTGGAACAAACTCATCAACCCACAAAGCTGATCTCCTCTTTATGTCTTCTAAGATATTATCCAAACACTGTAAATATTAAGCAAAACCTGTGATTTTTTTAAAAGATATGATCTCCTCACAGATAGAAGCTTTATCTTCGATACTATACATAGCGGCTGAACACTTTCTTTGGCAAAATATATGAGAGTTAAAACCACACAGAAGTTCGGAGCGATTATTTTAAGGACCTGGTACCTGGCTTGATAGCATTATATTACGTGAAATTTTTCCTGTACTGCTGGCTAGATGCGAACTACACACAAATCGCTTGATTTATTTGTTTTATCATGAATCGAAAGTTCAGTGCTTTAATGTATACTTAATCACTACAAATAATCAAAACTGCTTTAGCATTTGCTACATTTGTTTAGGGAAAAATCGAGATTTAACACGTTTCGGACCGCGAAATCGCGCGCGGCGAAAAAGAGTGTTCGTTCAACCGTTAGCTAAAAAGGGACCTTATTTTGAAGACTGTGTGCTACATCCTTAATGACCATGTCGAAAAACCTCCATACGCAAAGTTCTAAGTGAATTCGAAGTGTTTGAATTTTGTCATCTGAGAACAAGTTCTGTGCTTTCCTGAAAGATAGGAACAAGAACTCAGTTTCTATTATAATAGTAACCGAAAATATCCATGTTGTGGACGTACACATCAGTATTGAAACTACAGTTTTTCTCTTCGATATTGAAGCAAAGGAAAGTTGCGACGTCGCACGCGTCGTTCGCGTTGCCGCACTTCGTTGCAACTGTTGTTCCATTTGTGCTCATATCTCCTGAACAAATATCGGCGGCACAGCTCTACAAAGTTATGTAAAAAGTAGAAGCTTAGGCCTTTGACTTGATAACTTTGGACTAAAAGAAAACCTCCTGTAAACGTCAAGAAGATCCTTCAAAGCAGGGTGCTGCACCACGTGCAGCACCGGTCCGAAACGTGTTAAGGAAGATTTTGGTTTTGCCGCTCAAATTATGAAAATTATGAAATTATGAATACTTCTCTTCAAAGCATTTTTTTGCTTTTGAAGTGATTTATATGAATACTTTTCCAAACGTAAAACAGATGCTTTACGAAAGTGCTGACTTTATAGCTCATTGTCAAAAGAACGAATGAAGCCAATAAGTGGAGTGAAACTTATGATTCGACGGTAGTGAATAAAAAGCATAATAACTTTTGATGCGGTTTATTTATTACTCTACTTCCCATAGATTTTACTATACTTTAGTAATCACATCGCTACTACATACGTTTGAAACTTCATCAAATGAATATATTATGTAGGCATTCTTTTGAAAACGATAGAAAAAAATCTCCTCTTCAAAAAAAACTTTCCTACAAGCCCTCTTGCCAAACTACTGACTTTTCTATGTTTCCTAATTTTGCCACGTTATGTTAATTCGGTCGAATTATAATAGTTATTAGATTCACAACAACAGTAAGTTGGATTGCAATAAAATCGTTGCGTGTTCGTGTTTGTTTGAAAGTGGTTGTTTACATAGAAAATTAGTTCGATTACACGTATTTGGTGCACTGTTTTAGCAGTCAAACTGACATTCAAACTATATCTTCCTTTCCGACTGTCTTTTCCAAACTGATAATGACTACATAGTACTGCGAATTACTCGTCGAGTTTTCTTTAGCCTCAGCAACCCCCCTTCCGCTCGTAAAAATCTAAACATTAACTCAATTCTTCAAAAAGCTGCGCGTTTTGATGTTTCTGTCTAGGATTTTTCCGTTTTTATCAGCTCATACTCTTTTTTTCTGAACATTATTCCCATTTTTGTGACTTCTTCAGTTCATTACTGCATAAATGCAGCTAACTTTGATTTTTTCTAAAAAATATTTTCTCGTGCTCTCTCGTTTTTTTCTTCTGTTTGTTCTTCTGTCTCTCACGTTCATTCTTCAGTCGTCATATCTTCCCTTTAAAGGAAGTGACTGGAAAAATTGCGACTGCGGAGTTTTCACGACTACATGGCCTTCTGGAGCAGCTGAGTCCGGTACTGCGCTTGAAAGGTCAAAAAGCTTCTTTGGCGTTTCCGGGCCTTGAAGATTGCTGGAGGAGAACAATTGGCTACTGGAGGCTCTATTTTGGCGGCAATTGGCTGATCAGCCTAGGCAGCCATCGCGACACACTTTGACGCCAAAAGAGGTGGAGTTGCAGTATCCAGCAGCCAACTGCTCCTTTCGGGGTGAATCCCTCGCCCCGCCCCTCCAGCAATCTCCAAGGCCCGAAAACGCCAAAAAAGCACTTTTCTGACATTTCAAGCGCAGTTCGCACTTAGCTGGCCCAGAAGGGGATGTGATCGTGAAAACCCCGCAGTCGCAATTTTTCCAAGCCACTGCCTTTAAGCCGTGATAAACGGCTGGTCGTCTCAGATGAAAGGTTGGACAAGTTCAACCAAAGCAGCTCTAATTTCGAACCACAGGGTGCGATAAGGTGAGAATGACTCCCCCAGGGTGAAGGGGGTTACAGTGGTCGCAGCCCCTTCAGGGTGAAGGGTGTTTCACTTGGTAAAATCATAAAATGTCGACGGGGAGGGGGGAGCCATCATTTTTTTCCAATCAAAGTTCATAATTTCCAATTCCTTACCATCACTGTTGGTCTTTTTTTGAAATGTGAAGTGATACGCTGCTGGATTAGCACACAATTATACAGGGTGTTCCGTAAAGTATGTATACACTGTTTGATCGTTAATATCTCTTTTCCCAAGAAGTCTTTCGCCTTGCTTCAGGTACCATTTTGTAGAGCTGGCTTCAACTTAGATTTACATTATAGAGCAAATCGTCCATCTTTCTCCTTTACTGTAGGATTACGGTAGAAATTTGAAAGAGGGTTTTGGACCATGAAAGGTCATATTTTGCCTCAGAAAGGAGACAAAACAGCCTGAAAACTTTTACACTAGGCTAATTAGAGTTGCTGATTCTAATTGCAAAGTTCCCAACTTATTGTGATGCTTCATTGAGAGTTATGCCATGTAGGAGGTAGCGGCCATCTTTCCAATGTTCCTAAAAAGTGCGGTTGTACCGTTTAGAATGCTTCGCAATCTTGTGTATAGTTGAGTATTGAACTCAGCGTCCATGAAAACCCTATTATACAAGTTCTCACATTTTTTTGAAAAATTTTGAAACTCAGCTTTTTCCACATTGACACCATATATTTCAAGTTTTCTACCGTAATCCTACAGTAATGAAGAGGGATGGGCACCCTGTATTTCTGACCAGCACCTTGTATTTTTTATATTTCCTTTTCCCTTCTTTACATAACCGTACCTGTTTTTGGAATTACCATGGATGATGTGAATTCGAGAACATTTGTTTCAGAAAGAGGTAGATATTTTTCAAGCATTTACGAATTTTTTTTTCAAACAAGAAATTCGTAATTTCTGTAGATGAACAGCAACGTCAGCAAGGTGAATGTTTTTGAAACTACCTTGTCTTCTGCTTTTAGAGAATATATAGTTTGCCTGGAGTCTGCTGAAAGTGCCTGGTGAAGAGTGTGGGTAGTGATTTCTGGATATTTTCGAGTTTTAGGATAGAAAAATCCGTAACTTCTGAAGATGAACATAATTTACGCCGTCATGGCTACCATTGAAACCGCACCGTTTTCTGCTTTCAGAAAATATATACAATCCCTGGTGTCCGTTGAAAAAAGTGCCTGGGTGAAGGGTGTCCTAGTGATTTCTGGGGATTTTCGAGTTTTTAACATAGAAAAATTCATAACTTTTTTAGATGAACATCTTGTACGCCGCGATGGTCACCGCTGGAACCGTCTCGTCCTCCGCTTTCAGAAAATATATACTTTGCCTGCGGTCCATTAGAAAAAGTGCCGGGTGAAGGGTGGGTGAGACTTCTATAATGGGAGTGCTCAAGTAGACGCTTTTTTACAATAGTAAAAATGTGGAGAAATTGGGTTTTTCGGTCTCTTCAGTAAGACTTGTTAAACTTAAACTGCCACGCGGGACTATAATGTAGTGGAGTCGAAGCTCCAAATACGTTTATTCCCAATCTCCAAATATGTACAGATATATACAGATTCACTCACACGCCGTATGGTCGGGAGTGCAAAACTTGAGAATATGCTGAACTTGATGAACTTCCAGCGAATTTGAGAATAAGTAGGACTTGATGGACGTCCAGCGAACTTGCACTCGAACTCGAAGGGATGGAAAACTTGAGTAGGAACCAAGCATGCTCATACGGCGATATGGGCTCTTTTTATACATCCACAGATCTGATAAAACTAAGATCTCAAAATATCTTTCAAGTGAAAGTAAATATAAGTGAGCTGATAAGCGTTACGAAACAAAACTTGAAGTGAGAAAAATGCAAAACAAAACTTGAAGCGAGAAAACTGTACAACTCGAGATGAATCATCAAACAAATATGACATGGTCAAAAGGATATTGTATACGCTATTTACAATAATTATCACTTGGCAGTCGATGTCGTCGACACTCCCCACGCCGTCACTGTAGCCTGCGATAATTGTTCAGTGCTTGCTTGGCGTCCAGGATTCTTTGCTTGGCCAATGGTCTCAGGTTTGGAACATTGCACAGCGCTCGATGGTGTCCAAAATCCAAAATCAAAACCAAAATCTAAAGCTTTGTGTTTTAACAGCACTGTCATTTTCTTCTTTTCCTGATGACGATGTCTGCAAGAATGGATGTCTCTGTTACGATTTACGATTGCGCGAACCTATGCTTACTTAGGAAAAACAAAGGGGCACAAGGCGCTTATATGATTCTTCATTTCGCGGTTTGCCGTCGAACAATAAAAACAAGGTACGATTGCGCATAATCTTTCATTTGACATGTGCTGTTGGAAACAGCGTATGCAGAGGTGCATTTGTTTCATCCTCTCCCTGCGGTCGCTGATGGTTGCGTACACATCGCACTCCGTAGCGTACGTATGGGTGGAGGATCCACAAGCAAATTTGCACTTGCCTTTTTCCACAAGCTAAAACTTCGATTGCGATTCCGTCGCTTGTTCTTGCGCTGCCGCCCTATGTTGTGGTTGTGGCGTGGGCTCCTGCACTTGGTTTTCCGTTGGTTGGGGCCTCGGCTCGTGAAGTAAGGATTTGAGTTGCTGCTCTATTCTGTTGATGTTTTCCCTGGCTTTTTTCGCCGCCATCTGAAAACATCTCAATTCGAAACCTTTTACGACATTAGGGACCGACATTTTTAGTTTTTCTCCGTCTTGCCCTTGAAAATGAGGCCGTTGAACTTTTTCGGTAACTTAGCCAAATCTCAAAAGTAGAAAACCATCAACTTATTTTTTTTCTTTTTTCTGCGTGTTTACTGTTCTTGCTTTTTTTCAAATGTGAATTTTACTTACTTCCTTTTCCTTGCGTCTTTGCGAAGCTGTTCGAGCTCTTCGTTGAGCTTATCGATTAGATCCTGAATTGGGTTTGCGACCTCTTCCCCATAAACGTCCATGCTTGGAGTGTTGTTGGGAGTGTTTCTTTCTTCTTCCTCATTTTCTTCCATGTCTACTTCGGAATATTTCGAGGGACCTGGGACGTCCGACATTTTAACTGAAAAATAAAGGTTCTTTCATAGTTTGCGGATAATTCGGTAGAACAGTACGCGGTACAACCATTTACAAAGGGTGCGAATAAGATATACGATAACGACAAATGGACGGGAAAGTATGTAAAGAAAGCATAAAAGAGGAGTAAGAAATGGTATATATGAATAATACTTCCAACAGCTTCGTTTACGATTACGAGTATTGTTAGATGATAAAATAGTTTTGAATGATATCACCAGGACACTAATAGTGATTAGGATTATCGTTAATGAGTACGCAAAATAGGTTTTTATAACTGTCCATAACTGGAAGATGTCTGGAAAGGAAAATTCTGAGCTTTCGTCAGTGATAGGTGGAACTTTTATGAGTTGCGAAAAAAAGGGGATATCTGCGAAATTGTTGATGAATTGCAAGATACCCGAGATTTCGAGGAGCACAGTGTTTTTTCCGCACTTTGCAGAACAAACTGTTCTAATGTTAGCTTTGTTAAATGCGAAATAAACTGAAGTGGTTATCGGAGCGTCCGAACATGGAATTGCGAATGATTGCGATTCACATTCGATTTGTGCTAGAGCTTGTACGACATTGGACTGACAAGTAAAATCGACTTTGGCACCTCGTCTACAGTTGTAACATCCAATGAGGGATGATGTACGAATGGCGCAAGTAAATTCGTCTACGATCATACTGACATTCGATTTTGTTACGTTTAATGACAATGAGATTTCGACTGACGCTACCTCTGAAATTACTCTGGAATATGGATTCACTTTCGAGTTAGGCACGATTACAAAATTAGGGTACGTGACTGGTAGCGTAGACGTAAGTGTAAAAAGATCACTTGGTTTTTCGTTAGAGCAAAAACAAAGCGCCTCAATTTCAGCTGGGGTACATTTACATGTATCAATGACTGTACATTGCGATAAGTGAGTATCATTACGAGAAAGACAATAGTATGATGGCCTATATTCATTTTCGATAATTGCGGTATGATTTTTACTGATGATAAAGTGAGAACTAAGGCCCGTATGCACGTACATCCCCGCTGGGGAGGGGAGGGGATCTGAGAGGGGATGCGCCATATCTCGCTACTTTACGTATCTTTCTTCTTCCTTTTCTATCTTGCTTATGAAGGTTCTCATACCCTACTACCTGCACATAATTGATGCCAGGTTACTTGCATAACTGATTAGATTTGTACTGTTTTGTGTGATCCCCTGGAGATCCCCAGGGGATCCCCAGGGGATCACCTCTCATTTTCAAAGTCACTTATCTTCCTGAGAAATCATTTTAAACGCCGCAAAATTGTACTGAGGATATACTACGGCACTGCTAAGCATGTTTTCGACAGAAAAAATGGAATCTGAAGATGGTGAATTTTTCGATGATCCCTAGCTTTTGAGCCAGGGATTAACGAAGATTTCGATATCCTGAGATTTCACTTATTTTTACTTTAAACATGCTTAGCAGTGCCGTAGTATATCCTCAGTACAATTTTGCGGCGTTTTTATTGATTTTTCAGGAAGATAAATGACTTTGAAAATGAGAGGTGATCCCCTGGGGATCCTCTGGGGATCCCCAGGGGATCACACAAAATAGTACAAATCTAATCAGTTATGCCAGTAACCTGGCATCGATTATGCGCAGGTAGTAGGGTATGAGAACCTTCATAAGCAAGATAGAAAAGGAAGAAGAAAGATACGTGGTAGCGAGATATGACGCATCCCCTCTCAGATCCCCTCCCCTCCCCAGCGGGGATGTACGTGCATACGGGCCTAAGAAAAGGTAAACTGTGAACTTTCCGGGTTTTGGCCGAGGGTCCTTGATACTGATCAGGGGGAGGCGACGTGCGATACTGATCGGGGAGAGGCGACTTGCGTCCCTTTTCCATCCTCCTCGTGCGAGCGTTTTTCTTCCTCATGCGAGCGTTTTTCTCTTAGTCTGCTTGTTTGTTGCAGATCCCTTTTGAACCGTTCATTTTCCTCGCGCAGCCTTTCTTTGTCTTGCTTCTGTCTCTCGATCTCGCGCTCCAATTGATCGATTTCGTGTTGATGTTGGCGCTGCATCAGCGTCAACTCCTCCGTGCGCGATTTTTCGGACTTCAATTCTTGCCTCAATTCCGACAGTTTCTTCTTTTTCTTTTCGTTCTTGTCGATGAGGTCGCTGACATTGTTTGTAGGAGACGCCGTAGCAGCTTGCTTGACTTGGAGCTGGTCCCATAGGTTGGAAATTTGCACTTTCAACTTCTCGATGTCAAAGAGTGCTAATTTCAATTCACTGCTTTCCGATTTTTCCTCACTTCTCTGGTCCACACTTTCTGCTTGGTTGCTAGCGTTCTCATCATCATTTGTTGTTTCCATTTCTTGATTGGAGTTGTTTCCATTCCTTGACTGGAGTTATCCTTTCAGGTCTCCTCTTGCTCTTGAATATTTTCTTTCAAAAGCCGGATCTGTTCTTGACTTGCTTCATTTTCTTGTTGGAGGCGTTGGACTTGTTCCGCCCAGTCCAAATTGAGTTCTTGGAGTTGTTCCTTTAGCTGTACGTACTGGAAGGCAAGATCCTTCTCCTTGCTTGCGTTGATTTGATTTTCAACTTTATTTAGATGATCCTCCATGCCGTTTATCGTTGTTTTGGTGAAGCTCATGGGACTTTCCACCAATTTGAGTACTGATTCGGCTTGGACATCATTTTCTTGTTTGTGTCCTTTTTCAAGCCATTGGAATCTTCTTCCCTGCGGTATTAGCCCAGCTTGCACTTGACGGTCGTAGATTCTGTCCGTAAGAATGTACCATGTCCCAAGGCGCAATACCTTTTCTTTGGTCATCATTGCGCTTGCAGAAGCTCATCAGATACTAAATTTATTTGACTTTTACAAACATTTGCGAAGTGTTACAAGTTAGAAAGGTCCGTAGCAAGCTGCACTCGAAAGCCGATTGCTGCAACCAGCCGCCAGAACCAACGTCAGCGTTGTCGCATACGGTAGAACAAGCTGGCTTACCCGGCTCCACCCGGCCCTGTCAAAACACTACGACAAAGGTTCCATACCTATCCCTGTACAACCTTTCCCTGTGCGCACTTTCACATTTTCATTTACATTTTCATTTGTACGCTTAAGGCGTTCTATAATAAAAAAAGACACATCCAGAAGTTAGTAATTCGGCGGAATGAACTAGAAACGTAAACGAATGCAGACATCATCATGTCAATCCGAGTCTAATCCTAGTCAGACTATTGTAAGAAAAACGAAGCAGCTTGCATTGAATATGTTGAAGGCTGATAGATATGTATACAAATGAAGACATTGATAGGCATTGATACTCATAATCTACAAACTATAACTCCAAGAAGATGGGACTTATGCCCCCTCGTTGCCAGATCTTTACATTACTCTCAAATGCAAACCGACAGCTCAAAGGCGGGTCTACTGGCCCAGGTATAACAACAAAACCCCGGCTAGCCGAAATGCTGGGGAGGTCAAATGACCCCAAAGGTGAAAAGATTCAACTCAATTCATTTGGTTGAATCAGCAAGCTGTACGATTGAATACTAAATAGTGAGCGAAAAAGATCGGACCAAGATGCTGATGAGAGACCGTTTAGTAACTAGATGAAAACGAGTACAACTAAATTACAAGTATGACGCAACGTGAGGAGACACACGAGAGACGTCAAAGCCATAATTTATAGCCATAATTGAAAAGCAAACATCATTAGGCCAAAGAGCACCTAAAATGACAATTTTTAAAGATGAAACTTGAAGAAAATGTGATAGAAAACAAAGCCTATATCGGAGATCCATCCGCAACACACCATATAGCACGTCCCAAGCAGATAAATACAAGTCCAGCATCTCTGATACAAAAGGCCTTGACTGTCAGGCAACGCTAATCAATTTCAGCGGTACGTGACAAGTCAAATCTTCTTAGTCTACTTCTGAAGATATGGCCACTATTCAGACAATCGCTGGGGGCAGGCGGGCACCGGAAAAATAGATTGCTGATTTCTTGCACCCCGCTCGCGGATTTTTTGCAAAGCAATCAGGACTTTTCGGAAGACCGCTCGCTGAGTCAGCGGATTTTTGAGAGACAAATTGAAATTTTTTGAAATTTTTTCGCTCTTATCTTTTGCAGATATATTGCTGAATCTCTGAGGAATCGAGAACTTAGCAAGCAATCTTCCGAAAATTCCTGATTGCTTTCCAAAAAATCCGCGAGCGGGGTGCGAGAGATCAGCAATCTATTTTTCCTGTGCCTGCCTGCCCCCGGCGATTGTCTGAGTATATTATCTGCACTAGTGGTATCAACAGGGAGACGCGAAAGCCACCTAGCTCCCCTACAAAAAACGTTATCGAACATCAATAGGTAATTTCTGAGACGGATCCTTGGATATTGCAGATTAAAGGAAACAGACCTATTACTGGTAGGAACAAAAACCCAGTACTTGCTAGCTTTCAGTCTGTTTTCTTTCCTCAGAACTTGAAAGCAGGATACAAGATCCGAAAATATCCGCCGATGTTAAAGACTCTAAATGAAGCTTCTTTAGGCGAGCTTGGTATTCAGGAGGGTCATTCTGGGTGATAAACGCTATACAACAGCCTCGTAAAAAGCTGTTGAACCTTTTTTACTCTACGCATATCTTTTTTGCGGAAGGGAGACCAGATCTGAGAACAGTATTCCAGGTGAGAGAGAACAAACGCTTTATAGAGCGATACAAGTATCCTTGGGGAGCTGGTACTGGTATTACGAAAAAGCATGAAGAGCGAAGAATATGCTTTCCTGATTGTCATATCGACGTGCTTAGTGAAGCTAAGGTTTGTATCAATCAGGACGCCCAGATCTCTAACAGCATCACATCCTTTCAACGTAGTGCCTTTGATGTGATAGAAGATTGTGAAACCACCTCCAAGATGAAGCGCTGAGCATTTGGCAAGGTTCAAGGCTAGATCCCAGCTATCACACCACTTAATTTGTCAAGAGAAGTTTGCAACCTTGTTACCTCCA